CTTGTTAATGAGATGGGTCTTGGATTTCCTGGGTCTTTAGGTTTTGGAATGGGAACTATAATTGTACTGTTCCAAGAGAGTGGTCGGGTTCTTGTCACCCATACTCTGTTGATGACTTCAAGCAGCAAGATGGAAAAAAATAGATGATGTTTTAGCCTTACCTGACGAACTTGACCAACCTTTCAATCTGAAAGAACTCAGAAGTGCGATAAAGAAAACTAAAAATACAGCTCCAAGCCAGGACAAAATCACTTGCAACATGCTATTGGCACATACAAGGCAGCTCCTATATATCCACCCAATCAAATTCATATATATATATATATATATATATATATATATATATATATATATATATATATATATATATATATATATTTATTTATATATGAATGTGATTGGGTGGATAGATAGGAGCTGCCTTGTATGTGCCAATAGACCTTTTGCAGTTACCTTTATTCTCACGTTCAGCTTATCTCCTATGTTGCCAAACGTATGATTCTGCTTAAATTGCGGTACATTTGGGTCGCTATTTTAGTTTTGAACTCATCACTGCATAATACAATGATTACAACTGTGGTTGACTAAATGTATATTCTTAATCCTTTTGTACCACGCTCTCTTTTTACCTATAAGGTTCTTCAGATCCTTTGTTATCCACTTTGGATCATTAGTATTCGATCTATTAAATTTATATGGTATACTACATTCCTGGGCTTTGCTTAGAACATTTTTAAATAGCTTATATTTTGAATCCACATCGAAAACCCCTTTTACGTCACCTATCGTTGGATTCACGTCTAGCTCCAATACCGGCCCACACCCCATACCCAAGACTTAAAAAGACCTCGTCTTGGCAAGTTGTAAAGGACAGGGGTCTTAAGAAGACCTTGGCAAAACCGACACCTAATAGCCTAAGGACTTCTAACGCATTTGATGTGTTAGAGGACGAGTGCTGTGGTGAACCTGTAGTTCAACGAGGAGGCAAAGGCAAAAGCAACGAGTAGCATTGAAGCGCAGGTCCCTCAAAGTGCCCTAAAGGAAAAGGGAGGAACAAAGCGAATTTTGGTTGTGGGAGATTCCAAGGTGAGGTATTTAGACAAAACTTTTTGTGCCAGAGATAAGGGGAACAGGTTACAGGTTTGCTATCCGGGAGCTAGTATTAGTGATATTGTTGGAAACATGAAAGATATTATGACGGGAAATGGGAACAAACCCAATATTTGTATTAGGGCAAGAGGTAATGATGTTCGGCGAGTTAGGAGTGAGGAACTAATATAGAGATTCAAGACAGCAAAAGAATTAGTTAGGAGCAAGGGAGGAATCCCGATCATATGTGGCATTCTTCCAAGAAAGGGAGTGGGAAATGAATGGATGTCGAGGGCACTTGGTGTCAATTGCCGGCTGGAAAGATATTGCAAATCTAATGCAATATCTTTCATAGACAACTGGGGACACTTCTATGGAAGAAATGAAATGTATGCTCGGGATGGGGTGCGTCTATCGAGGGCTGGGGTTGTTGCTGTTGTGAACTCGTTGGAACCAGTGGTTAGAGGTGTTTGTTTGGGTTTAAACAGGTAGTAGATAGAGGAATGGGAATTGATTTTGAGGAAGGAGGTAATAAAAGTATGTGTTTGAGGGAGAAAGGAATTGGCAAAATGATCAGGGAAATTGAAGGGCCTCAAAATAACAATTCACTTAGGGTATATTACACTAACAGTAGAAGTCTAAGAAATAAAATAAACGAATTAAATGCTCTTGTCTGCAGAGAAAAAAATAGATATTATCGCGCTTACTGAAACGTGGATGAATGTAGAAAATAGAGAACTATTAGCTGAATATCAAATAAATGGATTTAAACTATTTCACACAGATAGATATATTAGACGAGGAGGGGGAGTAGCCATATACGTTAGGGACAATTTGAAATGTAGTCTCAAAGAGGGAATCAAATCTGAGCCACACACAGAAACTATTTGGATAGAATTAAACGAAAAAGCAAATAATAGTATAAAAGGAGTATAATAGGCCACCAAATTTAGACAGAATGGAAGCAAAGTATCTATGGGATGAAATATCTAGAGCATCTAGATCAAACAGTATTTATGTCATGGGTGACTTTAATTTTAGTGGAATAAACTGGTTGAACAAAACAGGGAATAATGAAGCAGAAGATTTTCTAGAATTAATTGACGATTGCTTTCTTACGCAACACATTAAGGAACCAACGCGGGAAAATAATATTTTAGATTTAGTGTTAACTAACATGGAAACACAAATTAAGGACATCGAAATAGGGAATGAGCTTGGGAACAGTGATCACAAAGAAATCAGATTTAGCATAGAATGGAATAGACCTGTAGAAGAAAATTCTGTTAAAGTACCTGATTTTCGAAAAGCTAATTTCAATAACCTAAGAAATTTATTGGGTCAAATAGATTGGAAAGTCTTGGGTATGGGGTGTGGGCCGGTCTTAGAGCTAGACGTGAACCCAGCGATAGGTGACGTAAAAGCGGTTTTTGATGTGGACTCAAAATATAACCTATTTAAAAACATTCTAAGCGAAGCCCAGGAATGTAGTATACCATATAAATTGAATAGATCGAATACTAATGATCCAAAGTGGATAACAAAGGATCTGAAGAACCTTATAGGTAAAAAGAGAGCGTGGTACAAAAGGATTAAGAATGGGGAAGTCAGTTTAGAACAGGAATTCGTACAACTGGATAGAAATACTAAAAAAGAGATAAGGAAAGCAAAAAGAAACTATGAAGTTCGCATAGCAGAGCAAGCAAAGACAAATCCTAAAGGGTTTTTCCAGTTATACCGGACAAAGATTAGGGAAAGGATAGGTCCATTAAAAACTGAGACAGGTCAAATAACAGATAATGATGAAGAGATGAGTAGTATTTTTAATCAATATTTTATATCTGTATTTACTAAAGAGGAACTTAACAATATGCCTTCAGCCGAACAAGTCTATGTGGGCGGGGACGAGGACAGGTTGACTAGAATAGCAGTTACCAGGGAGGATGTAATTAAACAAATAGTTAAACTCAAACCAAACAAATCCCCAGGGCCGGATGAAGTGTTTGCCAGGATGCTTAAAGAATGCAAAGAGGAGCTTTGCGACCCACTGTCTACCATATTTAATAAATCAATAGAGTTAGGCAGAGTGTCAGAGTTATGGAAAGTTGCTAATGTGATACCAATTTTTAAGGAAGGAGACAGATCACTTGCATCAAACTATAGACCAATTAGCCTAACGTCTATTGTGGGAAAGTTACTTGAATCGATAATTGCAAATAAAATTCGTCTTCATCTTGAAAAACACAAATTAATAAATAAGTCGCAACATGGTTTTACAAATGGCCGTTCATGTTTAACAAATTTCCTATCTTTTTATTCGAGCATAGTTGAGGCAGTTGATAGTGGTAAGGATTGTGATGTCGTGTACCTTGACTTTAGCAAAGCTTTTGATACAGTGCCACATGAAAGACTGATTAAAAAATTAGAGGCTCATGGTATTGGAGGTGCTATATTAAGTTGGATTAGGGCATGGCTATTCCAAAGGAAACAGAGAGTTAGTATAAATGGGGTTAAGTCAGGGTGGGAGAATGTTGTAAGTGGAGTGCCTAAGGGCTCTGTCCTGGGACCTCTGTTGTTTCTAATATATATAAATGATTTAGATTCAGGCTTGAGTAGCAACATCTGCAAATTTGCCGATGATACAAAAATCGGCAGGGAAATCAACACGAAAGAAGACTCGCTATCACTTCAAGTTGATCTAAATAGGGTTTTAGAATGGTCAAAAGATTGGCAGATGCAGTTTAATGCTGATAAATGTAGAGTTTTGAGGCTGGGTAATAATGATAGAGTTACAAAATACGAGCTAGATGGTGTTGAGATTGCGAAGTCGAATCGCGAAAGGGATCTGGGAGTTATGATAAGTAAGAATTTAAAACAAAAGGATCAATGCATGAATGTTCGTAATAAGGCAAATAGGACACTGGGATTTATTAATCGCAGCGTTGGTAACAAGACACCTGGTGTGGTTCTCAAGCTATATCTTGCTCTGGTTAGGCCCCATTTAGATTATGCAGTTCAGTTTTGGTCGCCATACTATAGAATGGATATAAATTCACTTGCACGTGTCCAGCATAGGATGACAAAGTTTATTCCCCAAATTAGAAGTCTTTCATATGAAGAAAGATTAATAAAACTTAAATTGCATTCACTGGAAAGGCGAAGAGTTAGGGGTGACATGATAGAGGTTTACAAGTGGATGAATGGACATAACAAAGGAGATATTAATAGGGTATTAAAAGTATCAACACAAGACAGAACACGAAACAATGGGTATAAATTGGATAAGTTTAGATTTAGGAAAGACTTGGGTAAACGCTGGTTCGGTAACAGGGTTGTTGATTTGTGGAACCAATTACCGCGTAACGTGGTGGAGGTGGGGTCCCTCGATTGTTTCAAGCGCGGGTTGGACATGTATATAAGTGGGATTGGGTGGTTATAGATAGGAGCTGCCTCGTATGGGCCAATAGGCCTTCTGCAGTTACCTTTGTTCTTATGTTCTTAAGCTTTCTAACAGTAGGTTCTAACCTATGCTCCCAGCGGTCTCGAATATCAACTCCACAAAAACAGTGACCACAACATGACTGGAATCTCCTGCAAAAATGGATACAATGTTGCACAGATCAGCTAACATGTTGCACAGATCTGCTTCATCGTTGATGGAATTGAGGTCTCTAATATTACTTCAACAAATGACTGGGAAATTCTCAGCTCATTACTATCAAGAGTAAAGAAATACAAAAGGTACAACACAGTTATACTTGTTCTGAACACAAGATGTATTCTCAGATGTTCTGTATATCTTATGGATAATGGATATCAGATAATACATTTTTTTTAAGAAAACGGGAATATATAAATACTACGGCTGTCAGTTACAGTAATAAACGGATGCAAATCGGGGGTCAACTCACCTTACAATCAACGAAGTACTTCCCACTGACACTGTCCACTTCCTCTGACACTGACAGGTAGATCAGAGTCTGGGCACCTAGCTTCTCATCCTGCAATATTGGGTCTCTGATTAACTGCTCATCCAGGAACCATTTAGAGCAAGATAATGTAGTTAGCTTCCTGAGCATAATGCTTACTGCAGTATTCAGGTGGCACCGAACAAGGGTTATGGAGTGCATTGCTCTATACCACACTGCTGATTTTGTGTGGAATTTATAATACATTTCCAACATCAATAATTATAACAAACAGCACAATTTGTACATTATTTGACATCATCCGTCACTTATGTACAACATTTATACAATTAAATACAAATAATACTTTAGCCATCAGCCAGAAGAAAAAGCCAAACAGGTAGGTGAGTATGTTCTTGTGGCTTGTCTTCCACAGTATCTCAGTGTACACGGCCCCTGGGTGTACACTGTTGGTCGTCACACCTGCAAATAATACACCATTAAATAAATATTATATATATCTATATAAATAAAAATGGAAATGTTCGTTTGTTCAAAATCGCTAATCTCCGAAAGTTCTTCAACGATTGCTTTGAAATTATCATACAACGTTTCATTCGCATCCGAGCAGGATTTTATATACATGCTATTCAGATGTTACGTCTATGATGGGAAAAAAAATACTTGTTTGAAAAACTGCTTTTAGTGCGTTTTTCATGTGAGGGAAATCTTCGAAACGTTTTTGCTGATTGATTTGAAATTTTGATACAACGTTGCATTCGAATAAGGCGTATGTTTTTTATATACCTACTATATACGTGCATCACCTGTGACAGGAAAAAACATGCTTTTTTTTTAAACAGCGCCATCTGTTGGATGTAAGAGCAACATCTGCTGTAATCTCTGAAAGTTTTTCACTGATTGCTTTGACATTTTGACTCAACGTACCATACACATATATGCGTTTTTTATATACCTACTATTTAGATGCCACAACTGTGACAGGTAAAAAACATGTATTTAAAAAAAACAGCGCCATCTGTTGCACGTAATAGCAACACACTTTATACTAAATATGTTATGATTACATTTCAGTGTTTCTGATTGCATTGATAAATTTAATATTCATAGATTTTTATTTATTTTCAATTTGATTTAATTATTTTGTGTGACATTGCATAGGAATTGAGCTGTGTGGTTTACCTTACCATTCATTTCGTAAGTATAAGTATAGTTGCCACACCTGTGACAGGTAAAAACATTCTTTTTTTTAAACAGCGCCATCTGTTGTACGTAAGAGCAACACGTGATATACTACATATGTTACGATTCCATTTCAAAGTTCCCGATTTCATTGAAAAATTGAATTTTCATAGATTTTGATTTATTTACATTTTTATTTAAAAATTTTGTGCGACATTGCATTGGAATTGAAGTGTGTTGTTTACAATTCCGTTCATTTCATGAGTATAGTTTATTTTTTCATTTTTCATTATTTCATTTCTTTTTTTTTACTGTTTTTCATATATTTCAGTGAGGGGAACATCAGATGATTTGATGTTCCCAATTTTCTGATGGGAACATCAGATCATTTGGAAATGCATCGGAGTAGGGAGTGGAAAATGGTGGGAAGGACAAGGGGACGGGAGTGGGAGATGGTGGGGAGGACAAGGGGACGGGAGTGGGAGATGGTGGAGAGGACAAAAGGACAGGGGAGGGGGTAATGGTAGGGAAGACGAGGAGATGGTGGTGTGGGGGGGATGGTTAGGAGGACGAGGGGACGTGGGAATGAGGAATGGGTAGGAAGACGAGGGGATGAGGGAGGGCTGGGAGACAGGGAAAGGATGCTGTGGCTCAGCAACGCACATGCGTTGCTGAGCCACAGTTTATATATATATATATATATATATATATATATATATATATATATATATATATATATATATATATATATATATATATTAAATATGACCGAAAAAGTAAGATTAATAATTCTAACACGAATTTTCTCAATCTTTCATACATTTCGCTTCACTGTTGGAGGTAAATCAAAAATTAATTCTCCAAAATTCATTTTTATTTCTAGTCTGACGCGACACGAGCGCGTTTCGTAAAACTTATTACATTTTCAAAGACTTTAGTTCACAAATACACAACTGAATAGAACTTACGCATCTCCGATTTTATATCTACATTTGAGTGAGGTGGAAGGGGTGATGTGGCATTAACACAAGACAGAACAAGATGTGGTATTAATAGGGTATTAATTTCATCAACACAAGACAGAACCAGAGTATTAATAGGATATTAATTTCATCAACACAAGACAGAACACGAAACAATGGATATTGAATAGAAGTGTTTGTAGAAAGCCTATTGGTCCATATTTCTTGATGCTTCTATATTGGAGCGGAGTCTTGAGGTGGGTAGAATATAGTTGTGCAATAATTGGCTGTTGATTGCTGGTGTTGACTTCTTGATGTGTAGTGCCTCGCAAACGTCAAGCCGCCTGCTATCGCTGTATCTATCGATGATTTCTGTGTTGTTTACTAGGATTTCTCTGGCGATGGTTTGGTTGTGGGAAGAGATTATATGTTCCTTAATGGAGCCCTGTTGCTTATGCATCGTTAAACGCCTAGAAAGAGATGTTGTTGTCTTGCCTGTTGTCGTTGTTGTTGTCTTGCAAAAAACCCAGTATATACTGGGTTTTTTGGAGCTTACAATCCCCAAGAGGGCATTTGAAGGCATAGACGACGTTGGTCTCTTTTAAAGCGTTCTGCTTTGTGTCTGGAGAGTTTCTCATGAGTAGGCTGGCCGTTTTTCTGGTTTTATAGTAAATCGTCAGTTGTATCCTCTGATTTTTGTCTGTAGGGATAACGTTTCTATTAACAATATCTTTCAGGACCCTTTCCTCCGTTTTATGAGCTGTGGAAAAGAAGTTCCTGTAAAATAGTCTAATAGGGGGTATAGGTGTTGTGTTAGTTGTCTCTTCAGAGGTTGCATGGCTTTTCACTTTCCTTCTTATGATGTCTTCGACAAAACCATTGGAGAAGCCGTTGTTGACTAGGACCTGCCTTACTCAACGTTATATGGAGGACCTATGGCAATTCGTGCTCTCAGCCACAGCTCAGAATGGAAGCAAGTCGACGAAGAACTCTGTAGGGTAAGGCAGGTATATATATATATATATATATATATATATATATATATATATATATATATATATATATATATATATATATATATATATATATATATATATATATATATATATATATATATATATATATATATATATATATATATATATATGTCGTACCTAGTAGCCAGAACGCACTTCTTAGCCTACTATGCAAGGCCCGATTTGCCTAATAAGCCAAGTTTTCATGAATTAATTGTTTTTCGACTACCTAACCTACCTAACCTAACCTAACCTATCTTTTTCAGCTACCAAACCCAACCTTACCTATAAAGATAGGTTAGGTTAGGTTAGGTAGGGTTGGTTAGGTTCGGTCATATATCTACGTTAATTTTAACTCCAATAAAAAAAATTGACCTCATACATAATGAAATGGGTAGCTTTATCATTTCATAAGAAAAAAATTTGAGAAAATATAATAATTCAGGAAAACTTGGCTTATTAGGCAAATCGGGCCTTGCATAGTAGGCTGAGAAGTGCGTTCTGGCTACTAGGTACGATATATATATATATATATATATATATATATATATATATATATATATATATATATATATATATATATATATATATATATATATATATATATTTAAGACTTGATTTAAGGACAAATTGTTTATTGAGCATACCTGTTCCATGCACTTTCTTGGAAAGTTCGTTAGTGAAGAGGATGTTGCCAAGTTTGGTGTGACCGTAAACAACTCTAGAACCAGGGAAGGGTGTTTTCTCATAGTTAAGGTCATCTGGGTTAATTGATGTGCAGAACGTATGTCCTAAAGATGAAACATTGACGACCCGGCTCGGAGCGCTAGCCTTCAGCAGCCCTGTGGATTTTGACATGTTAATAGTTCAACAAATTATAATTCGTCTGTACTGAAATATTCAGTAGAGTAGGTAAGTATTTGGACAGTAACACAATGTTTTTTCCCTCTGTACTTCAGGTCAATAAATAGTTTATAAAGGTCATAATAACAAACTGTTGTCTAGTAAACTCAGAGACAAAATATTTATATAAAATGCAACCATTTTCCCACCATTTTCAGTTACCTGAGGTGATTCCTTTTACAATGGGCTCCACTACACAAACTTTATTTTATTGTGTTATTTTTTATTTGTAACATTTCTTGTTTTTCTAACAAATTGCTATTTTTCTTTCACTCACCCCTTTTTAGTATGTATGTACATATATATATATATATATATATATATATATATATATATATATATATATATATATATATATATATATATATATATATATATATATATATTTGTTTTCAATAATTTTATTATTATGGTTATCAACTTTGGGTAATTGCTATTTGATCTAATCAATTTATATCTTGGTTCATCACTTTCACTAGAAATATTTTTAAATAACTCATAATTTGAATCTGCATTTTTATCCATTGTTCCGTCATCCACCGCTGGACTAATGTAACATTCCAAGGACAACATACACCAGTGTAAAGTTCCGTCACCCACCGGTGGACCAATGAAGCATCCCAAGAACACCATACATAAGAACATAAGAAGGCAGTTTATAGCGGTAAGGTTTCTGATGTTGTGTACCTTGATTTTAACAAAGCTTTTGATAGTGCCACATGAAAGACTGATTAAAAAGATAGAGGCTCATGGTATTGGGGATGCTATATTAAGTTGGATTATGACATAGCTATCCCAAAGGAAAGAAAGAGTTAGTGTCAATAAGGGTCAAGTCAGAGTGGGAAAATGTTCTAAGTGCAGTATCTCTCTTTTTTTGTCATCTGTGAAAGACTCATCAAACTTACACAATGGCTCGATGCTAGAAGTGGATTTTGTTCTACATTTTGCATTGGAGAAAAAGTATTTTGGATTCCTTTCTATTTCATTTTTAGACTTTTGTTCTCCCTGCCTCTCCTGGATTTTATATGATGAAGCTTTAGCTCCATCATTTCTATTTCTGTTCATAGCCATCCTTGTCGTTGTTGGGACAATATTGATTGTTTAAAGTGTTCTACAGTTTGTTTTCTTCGCCCATAGATGGAATGCCATTCTTGTTTCAACTTGCACCATTTTCTCTTGTTTATCTCAGACTTACATACTATATGTAAGTCTATATTTCAAGTGCTACTGTCCCTTTTTTTTCATAGCACTAGTTTACGTTTGCATTATCTAGTTGTTCTTTCCCGCATATATCTCTGAGAAGTTGTTTACTTGTTAAAGTTAAACAATTCGTTATTAAAATTGTATTTGCTGAATTATTCTGCTTTTGAATTTGACGCTGGGCGCATATATCATTTGTATTTCTGAACTTCAGTTACATTGGGATATAAGTAATATGTATTTGTAATCATTATGTACCTTATCCGTTCTTCATTGTAAAAAATAAGATAAAGGGTGCCTTATTATCTAATTCCTTCTACTATTTGCTGGTTAAAGACAAATCTGGCATATATCTGCAAGAGGTAATTTGTGTGTGACTTCAATCAGACTGCTTTCTAGGATTCTCGTTCCGAAAGCTGAAATCACCAAGAATGTTTGGGACAGGGTTTGTCAGGTTTTATAAGCAGTATTCTATTTTCATAAGTTTATCTTTAAACTTCTAAGGATTTGTATCTTGTCCTTTTATTTAGAAGGACAATCACCACATGTAGATTTTATATTTTGGTTGAATATATATTTATATATGAGCACTTTCACTATATCATTTGTGGTGTTTAGCAGCTCAGTGTAGATGAGTGTGTTTGACGTTCAGGATAACCCCACTCTATAGCCTGTTTCTTATCACATTTGACAAAACAGAATTATGGTATCCATAATTTTACGAGAAGTTTCTTTTTTTTTTTAAATTAAAATTTATATGGCATAATCTACTTGTAATATACTTCAACTTTGCATAAATGTTCAACATTGTACCATAATAAAAAATAACAGGAAAACAAAAAATAGAATATATTTTCTTTTCAAATTTTAAAGAAATTATTAATCTGTAACAAATTATTTTTTAAGATAAGAGACGAGTTTTTCACGAAAACGATGCCAGAAGATATGAGATTTTTACAGAATTGTTCTATATTTTTCGAGTTTTGATCAAAATATATCGAATATAAAATCCCTCCCCCCCCCCCCTTCAGTTAAAGCTGCAAACATTGCAATTTGCCACATTTAAGAGGCCAGTTTTAAAGTGGATTTTGTTTTGAGTATCTTGATATCTTGTATGTTGGCAAATAAGATGTTATTTCTGGACTTAACTTTAAATATTCATTATGTGATTAAAGAGGAACTCGAATAAAAACAAATATTCTTACCTGGTTTGAAAAATTTACCAGCATAAAATCCAGCATAAATTTATTTATGCTGGATTTTAGTATTAAATTATTTATGATGGATTTTATTATTAAATTATTTATGATGGATTTTATTATTAAATTATTTATTTTGCAAGTAAGTAATTATCAAAAGAAGGCACCAAACTGGGAAGGCTATGTAGCACCATCAAATGTGCAGAATAATCAGAGGGCACTAAATATCACCAAGGATGCCGATTCGAGAACAAAAATGCATAAGGCGAACGATATCAAAATTATCTTAGTCACTAAGAATTCTATTGAGGGACAGGTGACTGCAAGGGGCGGTCGGAAAGCAAGACACGCTCGTTCCGGAAGTCAGGACTTTCAAGAAGGATATGCACAACAGTAAGAGGGACAATGCAATTAGGACAATAAGGAGCAGGGCGGCGCTCCATCAAGTGACCATGGGTTAAGCGAGTATGGCCAATATGCAACCTCGCCAGAGCCGTTTCCCATCGCCGGTTACGGTGGTAGGAGGACGGCCACGAGGAAACACAACATTTAAGAGTGCGTAGCTTGTTACCAGTAACAGATGACCAAGAAGCCTGCCAATGGGTAAGGACGGAGGAATGGATAACCGGGTAAAAGTCAGAATATGGAATACCTTTACGAGAGATGGGACAAGAGCAGACAGCTTCCTTGGGGGGCAGCATCCGCATGCTCATTTAAAGAGACACCAATATGGCTGGGAACCCAACAAAACTCAACTGACTTAAATTTACTGTGAACAAGAAACACCCAATGCTGGATCTCGACAACTGCTGGATGAACCGGATTAAAGGACCCGAGAGCCATGAGGGCACTACGAGAGTCAACAACAACTACAAAGGAAGACTGACAACGAGAAACAGGAGACGAAGAGCATAGAGAATAGCATAAAGCTCCACTGTAAAGATGCTAGTCTCCGGAGGTAAGCGACATATATAAGTGCGATCAGGAAAAACAACAGAGTAGCCAACAACGTCCGCAGACTTAGACCCATCGGTGAAGGCTCCATCAGAAACGGAGCGGGAGTGAGAAGAGGGGTAAAAGCTTTAGTGATGAAGGAGGGGTAAAAGCTTTAGTGATGCGGGTCAAGGATGTACAAAACTGTGGAAGGGGGACTCTCCACGGGGGCAAAGAAGAAACAACACGAGGAGAAACATTAGAAATACGAACGGAAAGAGAATCCTGTAAGCGAGATAACCGGACAGAAAGAGGGAGGTGGTGAAGAGGAACAGGAACCGCAGGAGGGGTAAAAGTTAAAGCACGACAGAGGCGAGAGGAAGGATGTTGCAAAGACCGCGCAAGATAGCGAAGACAGTAGCGATCACGGCGATCCTGGAGAGACAGGAAGCCAGTGTCAACATACAAGCTGAGGACGGGAGTCAAACGAAAGGCACCAGAATTGAGGTGCAACCCAATATGGTGCAAAACATCAAGGCAGCGAAGAGTACAAGGAGAAGCAGACAAGTAAGTAGGGCAACCATAATCGAGTTTAGACAGGACGAGAGAGGAATGTAAAGCAAGGAGAGTGCGCCTATTCGCTCCCCAAGAAGTATGGGACAATACCCGATGGAGGGCAAGGGCCTTAGAGCACTCAACACGGAGGTAAGAGATATGGGGAGACCAAGACAAACGAGTTTCAAGGAATAACCCCAAAAGCTTTGCGGAATCTTTGTACTCAAGGGGATGACCATAAAGTGACAAAGAGGGACGAAGAACGACCCGTTTCCGAGTAAACGTCATGGCACAAGTCTTAGTAGTAGAGAACTTGATGCCATGATCGGTGGCCCAAGACGACACGGCATCAATCGCAAGTTGAAACCGGTGTTGAAGGAGAGGCGAATCATCACCCTGACAGCAAAGGGTAAGATCATCGACATAGAAAGCGGAGAAGACGCCTGAAGGAAGAGAGGAAAGAAGACCATTGAGGGAAACCAGAAAAAGAGTAGGGCTCAGAACACTACCCTGGGGCACACCTTCGTATTGCTGAAAAGAGGCAGAGCGGTACCAAGCAGCACCCGAAAGGAACGACGAGAGAGGAAGCTGCGGAGAAAGAGAGGGAGATGACCATGAAGGCCAAGAGAACGAAGCTGGGATAAAATATGATATCGCCAAGTGGTGTCGTAAACCTTTTCCAGGTCAAAAAGGACGGCAACAACGGAGGTCCTCGCAGCAAAAGCCGTACAAATATAGACCTCCAAGTTTACCAGGACATCTGTCGTGCTGCGGCACTCGCGGAAACCAAATTGAGAAGGGGAGAGGAGGTGATGGTGTTCCAGAAACCACATCAGACGAACGTTAACCATACATTCAAAGAGTTTGCAGAAACAACTTGTGAGGGCAATAGGGCGAAAGTCCTTAGGTAGTGTTCCCAGAGAGCCTGGTTTGGGAACAGGGAGGACAACGGCATCGAGCCAGTCCTCAGGGACTGACGACGACTCCCAGATCCGACTATACAGACTCAGTAAATACTGAGACGTGCACGGAGGGAGATGGCGAAGCATCTC